GGCCGACGCGAGGACGGACAGACGCGCGCGATTCGGCTCACCGCGGCCGTCGCGGACGGACGGCCGTTTTGATTGCCGAGCGTCCCAGCGCATTTATTTATATGCATCCGTGGAGAGATATGCGGCCGCTGGTGTAGAAGACGCGTCGCGCTTCCTCGGACGCGACTCGCGTTTTCGACGTGAGTTCCTCGTCCGCGACAAATTCGAAATCGATCCAGCGCGTCGCGCTCGGGGTTATCTATCGCAATTCGATGATTCGGTTGCGTTTCCCCTTCGTGAATCATCCCTCTCTTTCTCTTGTGTCCGGCGACGACAAGCGTGACACGTTATAGCGCGAGATGTACTGTGGTAGTTGGATTCTTCAGAATTTTCAAGAAAATTCGAGGGCTGCTTGCGTTAAATAGAACAGTGATCAGAACATAGCCATTATGGAAGCGTTGCGTTTAGCCATACAGTGAGTGCTCTTTTTTTGGCAGATGCATCCTGCGATAAGTCACGCTTACAGGACACAATTAATAGCTGACAGATAGACATTAATAGCTGACAGTGAGAGAATCGCTCTCTGTAGCTAAGATATATAACTATCCAAGCTTTTTTTGGACAATTATATATCTTAGCTACAGAGAGCGATTCTTGCTTTTAATAAAACCTAAATTTAGAATAACAAAAGAGTATAATTTTCAAGTGTATTGTTTATCTTAATAATTAATTATAAATCGACATGTAAAATTTTTTGCAGAAATCTTTTTCTCATTTTTATTTAATCTTTATGCAGTAATATTTTAGAGAAAGCTGTTTTTAAATATTTTATCTTCTGACGATATATGGATTATATGTATTTCAATTTATTTTATGTACCATTTTTCATATATTGTATATTTTATATTTACTTAATCGTATTTTTTAATATTTTGCTGCAATGCTTGCATATGGGTTTTAACAATTTTTTATTTTTTTAGGACACGGCTTGGGGAGAGGATGGTCAGCATGAGCTCCATGCTCGTAGAGACAGTCAGTATAAATTATGAAGATTTTAATGAGAGTTTTTTAACATGTGGCACCTGTCTCTGTGTTTACGATGGCAGTGAACATACACCTAAATTACTACCATGTTCACACACGGTATGAATATTTGTATGAAATGACTTTTATATAATTGTATGTATATTTTATACATGTATATTCTGATAACTTCATTATTTTTATTTTAGGTATGCTTACATTGCTTAACAAGAATTGCCGCCTCTCAAACACGAGAGACAGGGGCGTTTAGATGTCCCATTTGTAGAGAATTAATAACTATTCCTCGCGGAGGGGTACCTGCACTGCCCCCAAGTTTTCTTGTAAACCAACTGCTAGATCTTATGTCTCGGCAAAGACGAGAGGTATGTTTGAGATTTGTATATAATAAATTCTTTCTTGAATAGTTAATTTTTATTCTTGTTCTATGTTCCAGGTCATCCCGAAGTGTTCAGTTCATATAAATCAGGAATTATTATTTTGTGAAACATGTGATACAGTATTTTGTACAGTGTGTACTGGTGGAACACACGCAGGAACGTCACCTGGATGCACGGAACATACGATCATCCCTTTTAGTATTGCGATAAAAAGAATGTCTGAAATATTACTTTATAAAGCTAACGAGTGTATATCCAAGGTGAAAACTAGTTTTTCTTTTTAATCTTTAAGCTTTATATGCTTATGTTTTATATTGATATATTTTTATATGTATACATTTTTTAATATGATTTATTTTTACTTTTTTTTCATTGTATGCTTCACTTCTTTTTTATATTTTTATGTTGCATTTTATTTGCTGATGCAAATATAAATATATAAATTATTGTATATCCAAGAGATTATACATATAAAAGTGTTTATTCTATTTTAATTTTATTTTAAAATTCTTCACTCTTTGAAAATATATTTCATAATTTTTAGAATAATTATGGATTAATTTTTTATACGAGAATTCTATTATTTATTTGCATTATTTTGCACTGAATAGCGCTTATAAATGGCGAGATTTATCAAATTGTAACGTGAGATATAATAACTCACTCCTTACTGAGTTAAGAGTTATGTTTTAGTTAACACAGGCACAAGATTCTGTCAGCACGGAACTACAGCGTTTAGAAGCATCTACGGAAAAATGTTTGAGTGCAGTAGACACAGAGTTCTCAGAGATAATTGCAAAGATAGAGAGACGTCGAGCGGAGTTGCAAGCTGCCGTAACTGCTGCCGCTCGTGATAAGAAGCATGTACTCGAGGAGCAACATTCTCTTATTGAGGCAGAAAAAACCAAAGTAGAAAGAGAATGCGAAGGATTACAATATCAGGTAGAGACAAAGTATATTAATATAACATTGCTTTTTGTTTCATTTTATTTAGTATATTCAATCTTATAGGTCGAGGTCCGGAATATTACCCAACGTATTAACAGTCTATCAGATCAGCTTGATGCAGCAACCGCTCTCAGTGAACCCAAAGAGAATGCTTTTATCACATTCGAGTTTAATCATAACGATGCTCTTTCCCAATTAGAGCAAGCATTGAGTAACTTGGGACGAGTACGTTCTAGTACAACATTGCCAGGTATTTTAAGGATACTAAGTACTTAATTAAAAAAGAAGAAAGGAATTATACTTATTTATTACATTATATCGCGCATTTGACACATATATTGTAAAACAATTATAGAGTCTTCCAAATCTCACATAGAATGAAATTTTTCTATGTTAGAAAAAATAACGTTTTGTTAGCAAAATTGTGAATCTAAGCAATCATGTTTAAAATAGAGCAATTTAAAGTTATCAAACAAGCGTTTTAAATCAAATGTAGATTAGGTCTGTCTACATATCTTTTACTATGTCTCTGAAGATTTTAACAATCATGTATGTTTTATAACTACTTATTTCTTATATTAATAAGAAAAATTTTCCAATTGATAATTCTAAATCATCTAAAAATGAATTAGATGATTGAACTTGTACAAAAAAGTTTTATTTATAGAGTAATATACATACAAATACACATACAAAAGTCTGTATTTCAAAACTATGTTTTATAATATTTAAAGTATTGTTTTAAAATATTTACTTTATTTTTTTTCTCATATAAAATATCTTTAAAATATTAGAATACTTGATTCAGCATTTGGATCTAGTTTACTTATTTCTTATTTCCTTATTTTACTTTCAATTTCTTCAGAGATTTCGAATAAAAAAATTTTCTCTTATTAACTAAATTATGTTTTTAATAATGATGTTAATATATTATCTTCTTATGAAATTTTTAAAGAAATAGTAAAAGATATACAGAGTGTTAGCTCAAAGTGTCGACTCAGTTTAGTCTGCTCTATCTGCATCTGATCGCTCGGCCATTTTTTTGGGGACACCCTGTATATATTTTACTTTTTTTTTAAATTCATACATCTCAAAGTTCATTTAGCAACTTTAAATTGCTTTGATTTAAATATTATTGTCTGAATGCAATTGTGTTGGAAGCAAAAATTATTTCTGGATAAAAAAAATCATATGTATTCTGTATGCACATAAATTCAGAGATATTTAATGTTTTAAAAATATTTACAATGTGAAATACATTCTATATTTGTCTTTTGTCAGGTTTATGCAGAGCCAGATTGAAAGATTTAGCAATAGTGAAACTACAAACAATCGTGATAGTCGAAACGGTAGATTATCATGGTCATCTCCGAAATGTCGGCGGTGATCTTATCAGCGCTGAATTGACACTCGCAGATAACATGCATGCAGAGAATCAGAACTCTCCTATTGAGACAGAAGTGAAAGATCTGGAGAATGGGATTTACGAAATTTACTTTCGACCACCAACCGCAAGCAGATATGTTTTGAAGGTGTCAGTATTTGAACGGCCAATAAAAGATTATCCACTTTTTTTCGTACGCGACCGAGCATAATGAACCTATTAAAATATATGGAAGACGTGGTAATGGAAGAGATGAGTTTCATCAACCAGTTTCAGTTGCAGTGGATGATGAAGGGATGATCTATATTTTAGATACTGGAAATTCTCGTATTAAGGTTTGTTCGGAACAATAACAAAGATAGATACTTCACGTAGAGTGAAACATTTTGATACTTAATTTCTGTATTGTGTTTTAATTAGGTACTCAATTATGATTTGGAGTTTCAAAGACATATAAATAATGAAGGCTTAGAGGGTCGCAGTTGTACAGGAATAGGTGTTTCTCAACAAGGTCTCGTAGTTGTAAATTGGCGGACGCGAAAGATTACGGAAATGACTTCGTTGGGTGATACAATCCGATCTTTTACACATAATGCATTTCAAGTTAGTAATTTTTATTAAAGATTTGTAAAAAGATTTGTATATAAATATTTTTAAATTATGATATTGCTTTCATGTTTCAGGAACCTATAGATATTGCAGTAGACAAGAGTTATGGACACATACTTGTCGCTGACAATGGCCAAAGTTGTGTATTCGTATTTGACTCAGATGGCAAGATATTATTTCAGGTTAATTTCTGTTTGCATAAATATATGAGCTTTTGCTGCATTTTTGCTTCATAATTTTCATATAGTTAACATAAAATATTTATAGGTTGGTAAGAGAGGTACGTTCAAGTTAATCAGTTCTGTAACTGTCGGTCCAGCCGGTGAAATTATAGTTGCTGATAGCAGAATTCAAGTGTTTTCCGCGAAAGGAGATTTCTCTGAAGAAATATATTCCGAGGGCAAAGGTAAGAGTTCGGACATATACTTACATATTTTTTGAAACATAATTCAATTGAAAATGATTCAAATGTAATATTATCATTATGTAACACTATATAAAAATATAAAAAATATAATATTTATTTTATCATGACAAAGGAAAGTTTTAATATGCATTTGATTTATATGTACAACAGGAAAAGGTATTTATGGAGGAATTGCCGTAGACGCAGATGGCAAGATAGTCGGTACTCGTACGGATAAAGGTCGTAGCATAATACAAGTATTAAAATTAGGCGGAGGTAATATTTTAACCGAAATCGACTCGCATAGTTCGAAATTGCGACGTCCATCGGGCATAGCTGTGCTGCCCGATAATCATCTAGTGGTGGTGGATTTGGGCAACGATTGTATAAAAAAATACAGGTATTGGTAAAAATCATTGTTTGTATGGACATCAAAATGCACATCGCGAGCGGGAAGAAAGCCCATTGCGAAGGTACCAAATGTCAATCTAATTTAGAATTATTTATTCAAGTTTTTGTGGAATTTGTAACATCATATATTATTATGAGTAATGCCTATGTTTTTATAAAAATTTTTATATATAATAATTTTTATACATAGAAATAGTAATGTCAAAAATAAATTTGACATTGCTAACCTAATTTTATTTTACAACATATAGCGTCGTACATCTCGCAATTCATATTTTGCATTTATTTTGCAAAATGTATTTAATTTTTTTGTGTTCAATGTTATTTTCTCTTGTTTCCTACAAATTCGTGGCATGCAAAGTTCTCACCATTCAATAAACAAAGTCATTTGACATGCTCAGTACTTATTGTGAGTATACCTTTTGTATTTTATAACTGTTTAAGTCAATGCGATTAATATTTAATCGTTTAAATGCATAAAACGATTTTGTTGTTAATTAATCTAGATATATCGGTGAATAATAATCCTTTCTTAATTTCGTTAAATTAAGCTTAGAAGTTGTTTACTTTATTTTGCAAATCAAATATGCAGCTATATGATGATTTTAATTATGATTATAATTGTAGTCATACATTGAATGTCATAAATAATCTAATAATTTTAAAGCTAGATGAACGGATCTAGGTGCCATGTAATTTTCAGTCAAAAGATTATGTTCTTATTTATTTAATTAGAAAGATAATTTATTATTTATTATTAATGAGTCTTTAAAATATATTTTTCTCATTAACAAATATATTTAAATATTTAGATTTATTTCTCAATATTGGTCTATATATATTTATTACAAACTTGTCTAAGATAAGATTAAATTGAGAATATGTAAATATTCATTCTAACTTTCTAAACCTATTTTAAATTTGTTCTTTGTTGCTGAACTTTCTGTATTAGTACAAGAAATATCAAGGCATTTTTTTTTTTATGAAAATATCAACATTGCTATTTTCATTAAAGTAGCAGTACTCATTGTCAATGCAATAGTTCATTCCTTCTACTCTAAGTCTTGACTAAAATTTTGCAATAGTGCAAATACGAATACGTCTTACGTTTGAATTATAAATGTGAATAAAGTCAAAGATACACAATAAAACTTGTCATGTTAGATTACATGCTAGAAATGCATCATAACATACAGTATTTGTAATTAGCTAACTTATAAGTTAACATGAGAAATCGCAAAAATAGCTACAATTGAAATAAATTTTTTTTATCTAAAGAATTAAATTTATTAATAAATTCTTACATGACGCTATATTTTTTGCGCTAGTGTCTTTTTTTAGTTTTATTTGTATCTTTACACTAATCAAATTTTACACTGAACTTGTTAATGCAAGAGCAAACTTAATACAGATACTGAAAACAAATCTAATATTCATCAAACAAAAAGTACCGCATAAATTATAATAAATAACAAAAATAAATTTCTATTATTCTGAATAAAACTTGGTTTTAATTGATATTTGTAATCAAATCGTTTTAATGCTTATAAAGCATATAATACTGCATATATCTTCATAATAGACTAATATTTTTTTTAATTTGTATATTAATTATAAAAGAGATTATGTTATAATACTATTAAGTTAATCTGAACTTCTAATCTTGATCTGTTTCGATAAGAAAGGTATCATTATTCGTGGATGTATAATGTTATATAGAAGTATTATACATACACTGCCGTTCCATATTATTTTACGATACATCCCTTTCACGATAGAATACAGAGCTTTGCATTACATAAAATCAAATATATAAGAATATATTGCTTGGACATCATTATTGAGATAAAAAATTTCTTTAAACTATGACTATTGTCATTAATCAAAGTTGTGAACACGTTTTTCTCAAATCTGAAATTATTAATATTTTTAAATTGTATTTCATATTTTATTATTTATCCTAAATATCATGTTTGTCATATTTATTAACTTATGCTTTTTGTAAGAAATTTCTTATATTCTTTTCTATATTTTATTCTCTTTGTTTTATTTTATCTTCAAACTTTGCATTTATTATCTGCAAAACTTTCTTGCGTTCCTAATAAACAAGAAATTCAGGTTACTCACTTCGGCACTACGTGATTTTTCAATTTAAATAAAACGTAAATTATAATTAGTGTAAGATAGCTATGCAAATAACTAGAAATATAATAAAAATTGTACATATATTTTTTCAGTATTATAAATTTTGATAAAATTGGCGATATGGTTTGTTTATCTAGAGATATTTCTAAATTTTATGAAAGGCATGATTCTCTCGACAATGACATACTTTTTACAAGGCCTATAATATCATTCATCATAATTGAATTTGTCATTAAAAGACAATTTAGATTTTATATCTTGCTTTTATAAATTATCGTGCGAATGACTTCATTGTTGAGACATGTTTTATGCCATTTAAGTTATTTCGAATATACAAATCACAGGGACTGGCACGAAAAATTTAAATAACAGGACTTGTTATATGATTATTTTTTCATACGTCCGAAAATATTTAATGCCTGTCTGAAAACTATGATCCTAATCATGAAATATTAGCTTAAATATCATCATGATGCATATCTACTTATTCTTTGATACTTACTTCTCGACACTGAGAGTGATAAACTTACATACATATGGCTTACAATCTCTATTTCTTTAAAGCAGGGAAATATTTTTTCACATAATAACATCGTATAGTAATCAATTCTTAAAATGATTATAACCGTCATATTTTTATGCCATCTTATTTTTTGTGACGTGATTTATACGGATTGCATTCTCTAGAATCCTTTACCATGTTGGTATTTGATAAAACATTGCTGTAAAAATCTTAGGACATCCAAGTTGAATATGTTTATATATATATGTCACGTTATTTAAATTTAATGAAAATGAATAACGATGAGTTTTGCGACTTACATCTTTGCAGCGAAAATGTAAAATTCTTCAGTGACTCCTTATTTTTTTGGATTGTAATACAGAAATACAACATTCCTTATGAAACTGCTTTGCAGAGTGATCTATAATAGGCTACATTTAACATATAAACTGTCGCATTGCTTGTATGTATGTACGAATACGAGTCATCACAAAACGCATTAGTCTTTAGCGGAAAGCATAACAGTGCCTTTATTAAGAAGATGCCACTATATTTACATCCTACGACAATTGATTGATAATATATATATATATATATATATATATATATATATATAGATCTGTATCCCGAAATTTCTGGTCCTATTTATTGTCCGACTATATCTAGAGTCATTGAAAACGTAAGGCAGTGATTGTGATGAGAAGATATATTATTTCGTTTAAAAATTTTGTCCTTGAGCTCGATTTATTATATATCATTGTCCCATTATTGCCTAAGTGTCTATCGTAAGTAGCGGAACTTAATTCGCTATTTTTGTTTTCTTTTATATACGAATTGTTCAGTCACCCATCACAAAAACCATGTAAACTCAGACTGATATATATATTTCTTGTTTGTATTTTTTGATATTGTTTAATCTAGTCATATGTCAGTTATAATTGTAACATTTATATATATCATGACTCTATCACGTTGTAACATAAAGTACATTGTAAATAAAACATGTAAGCTTGATTCGCCGAATGGTCTTAATTGAATGCAAAACGCTCGATGAGTGTTTGTCTCCCGAAACTTTAAAGAAAAAAGTATCGAAGTTTAAAGATAAATAAGCCTTGACTGTATCATAAAATTGTAATAAGAACAAAAAAATAAGTAATATAATGTTAACAATTTATAGTAAATTGTTGGATAAATTAATGTTATATAATACGTTGTATGTCATAACGTTTGTAAAAATATTTTTTAAACATCTCAATAATATTATTACGCTTTCAAAAAAATATTTAAACTGGAAAAATATAATGTCATATTCTATTTGTATGAAGTCTATATAATATTAATATTAATTAATAATTAATTGATCGCTATTTCATTATCAATTAATAATTTATATTTGTCATTGTCGCTATTACTTTTATAGTTATTCAGTACTACTTTGATTTTTATTATTTGGTAAAAGTTGCAGGAACTTAAATTTCAGAAATATAAAATTATGTAGTTATTAAATTTAACAAAAATTTCAATATAGCAAGTATTAATGGAATAGTGTTATGTTTTTTAAATTTTCAACTGGGTGTTTAAGATGTACAGACACGAATATTCCATTATTCAAACATGTGCTATAAATAATAAAATTTTAGAAAACCATTATTTGGTTCAGCAATCATATTAAGTTGTATCTTAAAAATTAAAATTTAAATCTCTTTTTTTTCAATTGCTCCCTGAACGTCGATCAATCAGACTAATAATCGACTAATAATTTAATGGTAATTAACTTATCAAATTACTTAGAATATTTCATTAGCGCAGATAGAATCATTTATTTTTCTATTTATTTATTACTTGAGATAAAGAACGATTAAATCATGGGACAAGAAATTGTACAGAAATCTTATCGTAAATGAAATCGGTTAATTCATGTCCATTTCTATGTATACTAATTTGAATGTTAATCTCAATGTATACTAATTTGAATTTCGGTTTATTTTTTATCTTCTTTTAGTTCTATGAATTAGAAAAAATGAATTGATTCGAAATTAAAATTAATTTACATTGGTACAAATAAATATTATAAAAATGAAATTGATCCTTGCGGTCCTTGACCGAAGTCGGGCCGAGTTTTGCCTTGACGGTTGTCTCCTCGTCACGCTGCGTCGTCTCGAAAGAACTGTCTCGACCGTCGCGCGGTCATAAGTCGCGGGACGCCTGGCTTAACGCGTAGGAGTTTACGTTCCTGAACGCGCGCGAGAGAAAGAGAGAGAGAGAGAGAGACGGCCAGTTCGCGCGCGGGGGAACGCGAGGAAGAGAGATACCGATAGGACGCTAGCTACCATGCTGGCTACGATGCTGGCCGTTACGGTGGTGGTAGTGAATGGAACGCGGTATGCCGCACGTCCTCACGTAGTACAACGTTCCGCGGGCGCCGCGCGCCACCAATGACCAGCGAGTACGGGCGGTCACGTGACGCGCGTGCCAGAGCCAGCAGCAGACATTGCAAATGACAAGACGCGTAGGGCATTGTCGTCGCGCCGCCGCTACCGCCG